AGACGCGGAGCCTCTTTCTTCTTCTTGGAAGCCTGCGTGTGGAGGAGACCGGGAGAGCTCCCTACCTTGCTCCTTCGTGGGGGGCTTCCTGGGGAGTGGGGCCAGCAGGCGGCTGCTTTGCACCCTCGCCGAGTGGCCTCCCTTCTCCGCATGGTGACTCTTGGCCGCCCAGGCCCGACTGGGATTCCGGTTCAGGAACCCAGGCTTCTGGCGTTTTCCACCTTTGGGAGGTGGCGGAAGGTTGCAGGTTTTTCATCTGTAGGGCCTTTGTTGTTTGTTTCCCTGTTTTAAGCGAGTGTTTTCTTTTACCTTGTAAATTAAATTTTACTGCTTTCCAACCCATTTTTTAAAGCGTCCGAAGTAGAAGCGTCCCTAGTCTCATTTGCCTCGTCCCTGTAGTCTGCACAGCACCAAGAAGAAATCTACATTACTTCTGCAGAGAGGGGGGAATTCCACTGAAATGACCTGGCTTAAAAGAGTTTGATCAAATCCCATGATAACTCCAGACATAGTCACCATGGTTTGGCAAGACGTAGGCCATTATTTAACACGTTGCCTTTTAAAAGGCCCATTTTTCTTTTTTCCAAAAAAAAAAAAGTTCACTTTTTTTGTTGTTGTTGCCAGATTACGTGAGTGAGATATAAGGTAAATCTGAGGCTGGATTGATTGACCTGGATGAGTCGTTTTAGGGCCATCTGCAGTAGTGTCTGCCACAGGACTTTTTTTTGTATTGTTGTTCAGAGTACTTGTTGCTGCCTCAGAATGTGGTTAAGAAATGGTTATAAGGAGGGCCAACTCCTAAGGAACCACAGAGACTTGCTCATCTCTTTTGTTTTGCAGAATGTCAGTTGCATCACAGTGTCTGAACATGAGTAAACTCAGTAATTTCTTCCATGGAAAAGTCCTTAGTGTAGTGTTTGGAACCAGGAAAAATATCATTTAATGAATGATTCCAGGAACTATAAAGTATACATGTAAAAGTTCCCCCCACCCTCTGGAGGTTGACAGTTAAAGATATATACTTTGTACATATAAGACACAATCTGTTCTGTATAAATCTCTTCTAAGGGGAAAAGAAAGATTGAAAGTGTGGAAGTTTTTTGTTGGTTATGGTGGTAATATTCATGTTTTAGGTGAACAAGGAGTAAATAGCTTAAAACTAAGGCTTGCCAGAAATCTGTTCAGACAGAATTATTATGCATGAGAGGCAGACATCGATTTTATTGAGGCAGAAGCAGTCAGAGTAATCTTAAACTCAGGGTATTAAAAAGTAGCAGAACTGAAAAACTAAGTATTAGTGGATAGTAATATAAAGAGATCAGCAGAATAACATCTATACCCACCATGGACACACCTAGCTCTTCATTAATGAAAGATGAACACTGATACGTGAAAAGTCAACAGCTGATGTTATTGGTTCATTTTGGAAGACTATGGAATATTTCTTCTGGCCAAGTTACCTTTCCTTATCATGGATACTGTACATAGCAATTCATATTTTACAGAAAGCCTTCTTGAGTTTGATCCAGATACAGTTATTCAGCAAACATTTGTTAAGCATTTTTGAAGTATTAAACACCAGAAGTATTCTAGAAAGGACCTGGCCTCACATAATTTACGGTTCAGTGGGAGAAACACAGTGTGGTAAGTAATGTAAGAAGTCTTTCATGAATGGTTTGCTGTCAGAGCATTAAGGAGAGTCATCTTTAGACAGAAGGTCAGGCTCCTGGAGAAAGAGATGCTTAAGCTGAGTAGGCACTGGGGGAGGAAACAGTATATGCAGAGTCGTGAATGAACCTGTTGGTAGGTCGGTGTGGTAGGAGGTTGGAGTGTATAGGAGAGATTGTGGGAGTTGAGGCAGGAGAGCCAGCCAGAGATACTAACTCACAAAGGACCTTGTGTGCCATTCATAGGTCTGAATTTTATCCTAAGGGCTGTGGGGAGCCTGTGAAGGATTCCTCTGTCAATTGAGATGCGAAGGGTGGGTTAGAATGATGTGAGGCTGAAGAAAGCAGAGGGCTGTTGTAATAAACCAGAGAAAGATGATGAATATCTGAGTTAAAGGAGTGGGATGTGAAGAGATGACATAACCAGGAGCCGTTTAAAAAGTAAATTTGATAGGGCTTGAAAATTAAAAAAAAAATTTTGTAGGGGGGGAGGTAATTAGATTTGTTTGTTTGTTTTTTTGTTTTGTAATGGAGGTACTGGGGGTTGAAGCCAGGATCTCGTGCATGCTAAGCATGCATTCTCCCATTGATCTATACCCTCCCCCACCCCCGGGCTTGGAAATTGATTTGATATGGGCTTGAAAGAGCAAAGTGTAAGATGATTCTGAGGTTTTGGGCTTGGGAAGGGGGTTAATATTTTTGGTAAGTGGGGCTTTTCACAGATGAAGACTATCGGATGAGGGAATTGGAGTGTCAAAGGAAGAGGGTGATGAAGTTACTTCTGGAAATGTTGAGTTTAAGATGCTGCTGAGACATCTCAACAGAAATGGTCGGAAGACAGTGGGGTAGATGGTTCTAGAGGTAAGGAGGAAGTTCTGGTTGGAAATATAGATTTGAGAGGCTTTATGTGGATAGTAGTTAAAGCTATGGATTACCTGGATGAAGTCACCAGGGAGAGTGTATTGGAGAAAATAGAAGAAAGCCAAGGACAGAGTCTCGGGGTTTACAAACCTGAGGAGAACCTGATGAGTGTGGTGTCTTGGAAACCAAAAGGAAATGAAGCTTTAAGGAAGAGGAAATGGTTAACAGTGTCAGATGAAGAAAGAGTGAATGCAGGAAGAATTACTGAATTTGGCAATTGGAACATCTGTGATAACACTTAGGTAGGAATGAACACAAGATACATGAAGAATAAATCCCAGTAATTTATATCACCCATTTCAGTGAATGGCCCCATCATCTGTCTCATGGCTCAACCCCAGACCTAAGATTTCCTCCCTATCCGTCCTCCACATCCAGTCAGTTCTCCCATCTTCAGCATACGACTGGAACGCACACTGTTTTTCTGTCAGTGGTCGCACCCTGCATTTTAGTCACACGTATCACTGTCTTTTCTTGCCTTATGTTACTGTGATACTGCCAGAGCCTCCCAGCTGGACTCCCCATTTTCTCCTCTTGCCTCTTTCTAATCCATTCTTCACGCAACAGCAAGAATGATTTTTATAAAAATGCAAATCAGATCATACCGCTTTCTTGTTCAGAATTCTTTCATGGTTTCCCGTTGTGCTCTGAATGACGTCCCCACGGCCTGTAGTTCTCTGTGGGATGTAGCTTCTGCCTACCTCTCTGACTTCACTTTGTGCCACGCACTCCCTTGCTCACCGCTTTCAAGCTACCCTGCCATCTTTCTGCTCTTTGACTCCCATTCCCACCCCAGGTCCTTTGCACTTGCTGTTCCTGCTGCCTGGTGTGCTCTTTCCCCAGAACTGGCCAGCGCTGTCTCCTTTTCATCTGTGAGGCCCTGGCATAAATGTCACTTCCTTAGAGAGACCTTCTCCAACCATTCTGTCCAGAGGAGTCCTCTGTTAGCATTTCTTGGCCCTTTGTTTATATCCTTATTGTGGTTTTTCACTATTTGGTTCTTTTTCTCTTTTTCCCTCTACTAGAATCCAGGACAGAGAAGTGTTTGTCTTGTTTATAGAGGTATCCCTTGTGCTTAGTGTTGTAGCTATAATAGATACCATTAAATGTGTATTAAATGGCACTGAGGCGTAGGCATGTGTTGATGACCCTTTATTGGTAGTTTACAACATGTTGTTAGGATTTAGCCTGGCACATAGTACATATCAAATAAATGTTTGTAGAAACAAAGAATATTTTTTTCCAACTGTGATTTTTATGCCCTGTCTGATAATTTTCATGCTTTTAGTACCGTTTCATATTTCTTCAGAAATGTATGGAATGAGTTAACACTTGTCAACCACTTTAAAGGCTATAGTTTTGGAATCACTATTTATATATTTAAATTATTTTATCATGTTTCTTGTAGCATCTAAGTGTTTTATCATTAAAGCTTTTCTATTTTTTGATTTTTGACCAAATTTAGACTTGAGACACTATTCCTGTAGTTGAAAGACCACAAATCCCATTATCAATTCCCTCACTTATACGTATTTCCTAGTTGGGATAATAAAACAAAAACTTAGTCTTTTTTTTTTTTAAATATTCTACCACTTGTTTTTTAGCCTTAACTCCAGGATATTCACTTGCCTCAAAAGCTGTCAAAAGAGAAATAAAGACAAAGATTAAGTGAAAGAGGGATATATGATGTCAAAAGTACACAAAATGTAAATTTGTGTTTTCACAAGTCTTATTATTCACTTATTCAACTAAATGAACACCTACTGGGTGCCAGGCACTATTTTAAGTACCGCGAATGCATCAGGGAGGCTAGAATCTCTCTAGTTTGAGGTGTCAGATCAGACAGGGCACACATACTCAAATAAATAATGAATACCAAAGGACAGATTAAATTCCTGACAGTCATCGCATGTAAGATAATATGGTTTGTCTTTTGTGAAAATTTGCAGTAAAAAAAAAAAATAGAGAATACTATTGGCATTACAAAATAGATGTTTTTAAAACTTACAAAGGATAAGTGGGATTTCGTTAATGGTTGCTCTCCTGTTGACTTTTTAAGATGTGATTTAATTGGGAAAAACTTGATATACACATTTTTTTTTGGAAATATGGCTGCCTCCCCTCCATCTAGTAAATGCTGGTAAAACCTGGTAAGTATTTCTCGCATTCCTTTCTGTTGCCACTGAAGCTGATTTGGTGAAGCTACAATCACATTTCTCCTGAATGATTAGAATCTATTGTGTTTTTATTGAAGTTGTGTCTTTTATCTGAGAATTTTAATTCTCTGTATAGGACATGCATCTTAAGTGTACCTAAACCTTAGAAAGACTTTAATCTTGCTTTCTAAGACCATTGCTGTCATTTTTAAAAAGAAAATAAATGATTGGCTTTGGCATGGAGTTCGCTATAGATTAGTTTGGTCTTTACCCCCCATCAAAGGAAATTTAATTATTAGAAGAACTAGAAGCATTGACTGAGGTTTCAAGTATCACGTGGCTCTGGGTCTTGGTCCCTCAGGGTGGTGAGACTTGAAGCCTTTCTGTATCTTGGGTGATGTTCCTTTCTTCCTTTTCCACTCTTCCTTTGCCAAGTACTTGACATTAGCAATGCCCTAGAGTCCAGACCTTGGAATTTTGGAAAAGTCCTTGAAATTTTGGCTGCTAAGAAGGCAAAGGTCAATTGGCTTTGTGACCATCTGTAGGGCCTAAATTGAGAAATTGTAATTGTCTCCTGGGACCTTTATATCTTTGCCCTTAAACCTCCTTATTTATTCATTATCTTTCTGAATGCATGTGGCCGCTGTAATTTTTTATTCACTTACGATTTTCCCTTGGTCCCATTAAGCCTTTATCCAAGAACAGAAGGATGATGCATTGATAGGTTCTCCTTCAGTAATTTTTTTTTTTTCTTCTGAACACTTGAGAAATTATGATCCTTTGTAATACCTCTGGTCGGCTGTCTGGGCCTGTAGATTTTCTAACAACTGTGATACGTTGTATGTACCCAGTACTTAGGTTTGCCTAATTGGGGTTGGGAATGCAGCATGCCTTTGCTGAGCCTGAGCAATATTTACTCTTGTAGATAAGATTGGCCCGTAGAGTGAAATCCATGACTTTGGCTTGTTAGTATTGTGCTGTAACCAACCGAACACATGTTGATGAATTTGCAGTGAACATTTTCTGTGCTAGGACTCTGATGGTCTACTTTGGGGTCTGAATTTAAAACCATTTCTGAAGTGCTTTTATCAAAATTAAGAAATTTTCTTCTCTCCAGAAATTAAAGAGCCCAGTGTAGAGTTATATAAATTTACCATAATCCTGTGCTTCTTCCAGATAACACTGGAAAAGATAAGGTGCTCTGTTCGAGACTAAGGTTCAATGAGAACTCATATGACCTTGTGCCAGGCAGTCTCTTCCTGTTACTCTCCAGTCACGTGCAGGTTGTAATTGCTATATGTCTTCCTCTGAAGGGTGTTGCTAGGAAACATAAGTAAAGGATTCAGGTTCCCAAGAGAAAAATGTGTTAAAATTCAAATATTTGAAATCTCCTAAATAGCTAAGAAGAGCAGAGAGAAAGTGAGTGAGTAGTTATGAGAAATTTTAAGTTAATTAACTCATATCTGTCTATGTATAGATTTTATTTATATATAATATATATATCTTTCTCTCTTCTGCCAGGTATAACTTAGAAGGTTGGACATGAAACTAGGTTCATGTTATTTTTGTTCTGACCTCATTTATTGAGTGCTTACCATGTGCCAAGCCTTTGCTAAGCAATTTATATGCATTATCTCATCTGCTCCTTACAACTCTCTGTGATAATTATTATTTATATTCGTTTGACAGATGAGGAACTAAGAATCAGACAGGTTGTTTCACTTGTGCAAGGTCACATAGCTAATATATGGTCGAGTTGGGACTCAAAACTCCAAAGCATTTATTTCAACCACTCTGTATTATTACAGAATTTCTCCTTCAAAGTCTCTGACTTTGCAGGAGATGTTTGCAGGGAGTCCTTTAACTGTCCCAGGGCATCCACCGATGTCCTCCCCTCTGTGGTCGTGTTTGTGCCAAGAACCCCGATGCCTTGATGCTGCCCACTCCAGTGTAGAGGGACGAAGCTACCGTGCAGAAGCCATCATCGCCAACAGTGCAGAACCACGCTCTGACTGCTCCTCAGGGATTGTCAGTGGTGTGGTTCTTGTAGGTTCCCCGCACTCTGATTCTGCTCCCTCGGGCTAGGACCCAGCACGCATCCATTTAACACAGTGTCTGACACCACACAAGCGAAGCTCGGGAGGGTTCCTTGTCCCTCATCAAGAAGCACTGCCCGAGCCACTGAGCCTTACCTCTTCCCTGGGGCTGAGTTCCTCCCTGGAGCTGTGCAGATCCCTCTGCAGTTAGATTCCTCGCAGGCTTGCCCTACGGGAGGCCCAAACAGGCTCAGGGTGTTGAAACCAGAGGCTGCTCACCGGCGCCTTCCCCTGGCCCCTCCACCCCCCTGGCAGCAGTTCTGTGGCCCTGCTGCCTCCATGAGCAGGAGTCCCAGCCCTTGTCTCATGACGAATGGGGACTTTTCAGTCTTGATCACTTTCAGCTGCTTGGAATTTCTTTTTCTTTCCCCCCAGTGACTGCAAGTGTAGAACCCCAGTAAAGCTTGCTGAACTTTATACACTAGAAAAATTAGAGGATGTTTTAATTAGAAGCAGAAGTGATGCAGATTTGCAATCAGGCTCTAGTATATGGATTTCAGAACAGAAAATGCTGAGGGTTAATTTCTCATGCTCACTTCAAATTAAAGGTCCACAGTCTTTTATCAGCACTTCCCAGATCCCCAAAGCTCTGAAAACTGAAAATTTTCCTGAGTTCTATACAGACTTTTTTGGCTGCAAAATTTGACTTCAACTACAAATGCGAGACGATTTTCAGTCGTGATCCACTTGGTGAGACAAATCATATGTTTCAGCACAGAAATACTGATGTGTTTGATAATGAGATGGTGCCCTAGACCCAGCTGGGGTGGCTGATGAAATACAGTGTGTACGTTGTATTGATTTTCTAAAATCTGAAAAATTCCACCTTCTGAAGTACATCTCATACCTAAAGCTGATGGCTTGCCACTTGAATTCCTTCATTCAGATTCTTTTCTTAATTTATGCTGGTTTGGAGCCGGCCTCCCCTTTATTCAAGGGGTTCTGGGTCTGTAAACTGGCTCAAGTCTGGGAGTTGATTGAGGCGATGTGACTTTGTTTCTGTATTCACGTTAGACTTTCATTCAATTGACCTTGAACTTCTCTGCTTCTCCAGATCAAGTAAGAGTTTAGCAGGCTGCACAGCTGTGTCATTTCCAGGAACGCTGCAGGGCTCTGAGTCAGGCTGTTCTGATTGCTGCTTTCGCTCTGCCATCTATGGTAGTAACCATACCTGCCTTGCCTTTGGCGGTTGAGTGCTGCCGCTTCCCGCTGCTACTCCAGGACCCACTTACGTCCCTGTATTTAGGAAGCACTGCCTCGGTGTTAGCGGTGCCCACTGTGAGTTCTGGCCTACAGAGAAGAGTGGTCCAGGGCTCTAATGCATTTCTCACAGTGATGCTGAAAGACATGACCTTCCCAGGGTGGATGACAGATCCACGCTGACATTCCAATCTCCCGGAGCCTTCGAATCCCTTCCTCTCCATAAAACCAAGGCAGGCTGGCATTTCAGGCTCACTTACTGTGAGCCACTTTTTGTCCATGTTTTAGCCAAGGAATCCAAAACAAGCTGTTAGAGCTCCTTCTAACTCCCCGAGTTGCAGCAGTAAATGCAAAATCTCTGTCTAATGGGCTCATCTCAGTCAGTTTGGCCCA